CAGATGCTATCAGATTGCTTGGCTAAAGACTAAAGTTGACATCAAGCCAGGAGAGAATGAGGGGAAAACCACAGGGAAGAATACGCTGTTTTCTTACAGAATGTTTACAGTCATCTTGAGATCTTTATGGAGAGAAAGAGAAAGTGTTCTGTAGCCAGTGGGCAATGACCCAGGCTTTGTAGGGATACTGAGGTTTAAGCCTGGAATCTGTGTTCTCTGACGGTGCAGATTAGGGAAAAGTGGTTTAAGGTCTTGAACTTTGACTTGGATAGAGCTCAGGGTGTGTTACTCTAAGGACGTTACCTTGGTCAGCATTTGAGTAAGTTGCAGAAGCAAGAAGGTCACTATCTGACTTTCTCTTGCTTCCTTCCTTGAGATAGATTATAAGAGTCTCATTCAAGAGGGGCCCTGTACCCAGAGGAAAGGAGCATCTTTATCTGTGAAAACACAGAGGCCCAGAACACAATCTTGCTCAGGCCTTACCAAGTGTCTTATATTCCCCTTGTCCAATCGTACTTTTCTACATTACCCATTTCTCCCTTTCGCAGGCTTCCCTATTTCTTTGAGTCTTCATTTCTGAAGGCGTCCATGTCTTGGAATACTTATTCAATGCATTTGTGTGGTTTTGGTTTTTTTCTTGTTGATATGAATTTTCTCATAGGAGTCTTGGCTGTGAGCATAGAAATGACAAAGAACTTCTCCTTTTTCTCTTACAACTTACCAGTCTGCAAAACGGTGGTGGCAATAAATTATTCTTCTGGGTTTTTCTGAGACTCTGTTAGAATCAGAGTATGGCAAAGGGCTGTCTAAAAGCTTTGGTTGTTTTGTTAGCGATTTTAGCTAGGGAAAATCATTAGGTTAATGGAGGCCAGAAGGAAAGTAGGTTGGAAACTGGTAGCATTCCATTTCCAGCTCACTGAGGATTAATCACCAGTGGACATCTCCAAGGAACTGTTGAGCATATTCATTGCTAGCTCATTTGGGTACCTGCACTACACAAACCCAAGGGATTTCCTATATTTGAGGTGCTGTGAGCTCCTAATGACCTTTGACTTTACTGACACTACCTCCAAAAGTGACTTATAGTTTGCGTGTCATCTTAAAATTTGCAGGCTATCTCAGTCCATGATTAAAAGAACACTGAACAAAAAATAAGACATCTAGATTCTTATCCAAGCCCAGTCAATTATTGTCTAGGTAACAGACATGTCATGCAGCTACTTTGGTTTTCATTTCCTAATCCCCAAGTAGAGTCATAATCCTTTTACTGAAGCTTCATGGTTGTTGGGAGGGAAAAAATGAGGGTAAAATATGTCCTCATCCTATGGAACAGATGAAAGCACTAGGTAAATTGATGTGAGGTTGGAAAAATTCCTTGTTCAACCAATTCTGAAGTCACATATTCACTCGTATCTGGAGTGAATCTTTCTGCAGCTACAATGTAAACATTATCTTAGACAGCAGAAGGATACAAATCCAATTGCAATTTTAATTAAGGCAAATGTGTAAGACTTGCTCAAGGTATAAAAAGGAGACAACAGTAGAGATTCCAGTGGGCTTTGAGCTGCCTGAGAGAACAGTAGATTTCTACACTTAGAGGAAAGAACAAGAGAAAGAATCTGAACCAGGGAAGGAATTCCTGGACCAGGCTAGCAGGACTGATTTTCCCTGCTAAGAATCAGGGGTGAAACTCATAGTCAAAGAAGAAATGGGGGATAGTTAGGAAATAACTTATTTTCCTAGTCGAGAGACTTTCAAAAGTGTTTTGACATATATTATGCTTTCTGTTCCTTATCAGATTTGTGCTATTATAGGATTAATCAGCCAGATCCTCATGTCCCAGAGTTAGGTCATGATGTTCTTAAAAGGAGTCTTTCAGGGAAATTCTGTCAGCCAGAAATGGTATCTGTTGTTATAAGATGTCAACATTTAAAAGTGGGCTCAAAAGAGTTGATGATGAAAGGTTTTGTTTTACTTTGATGGGAAAGGAAGAAGAGATATATTGTGAGGACAGATTTGTGAACACTGCAAAGGATTTGTTAGCTCTCTTCCTTCCCATAAAAATTATTAGAATGATCAACCCATAGAAATTAAGCAGAAAGTGTAAATGTTTCAGACTGGCTAGCTGGAACAAGAGGGAGAAAATACAGAATTTCAGGAACTTTGGTGAGCAATAGTTATCTAGGGAGGAGTTGTAATTTTGATATAGATGGTTCTTGCCACTGAGGAATGTGGGCTTAATTATCAGATGTGTGCGAGTCCTTACAAAATGGCTGCATCCTTTTGACATTGACTCCCTTTTATAGTGAGATTCTGCTGCTCCTCCCATCTAGAGGTGTTATCTCTCCCATCTAGAGGTGTTTCTTTAGCTTTAAACACACATCAGCCTTAGGAATTACCTTAAAAACACAATGCAGTGGCAATGAAAAAGTGCTAGTACTTGTATGCTTTTTCTTTCTCTTAGAAATCTATGCAACTGTCATATGAGCAAGCCCAGGTCACCCTACTGGGAGATAAGACACCAGAGCTGATTCAGCCCAATTATTCTACTTTGGAGATGTGACAGTGCCCAAGTGAGACCATCAAAGCCACATACCCATGCTACAGATGATGGCTATAAGGATGAGCCCAACTTGACTAGAAGAACCACCCAGCAGAACCCAGCCTAAATTGCCCAAGAAATTTTAGAAATACATTAAAGAACTTTCAATAGCTATATTGTCCAAGATGAATAAAATATGTAGGATTGAATCTTGCTTTTATGCTACCAAATCTCAGAATTCAGTTCTCAGGATCTGTGATATGTGACTTTGCATGTTCTCCTCGTAATTACAGAAGGCTCTAGCTAGATTCATAGCTTGTCATGCCTTCTCTTTTGGAAAATTATAACTGTATAACTAGTCTATGATCACCCTTCTTATTCTGTCCACTCCTGTTGCAATGGGCAGTAGGACATTCTTTGTTTCCTAATCAGAGTCTTTATTCAGTTATTGTACCTTTGATGCTTACACTAATGTAGGATCTGTCTTCCAATCCAGGCCTCTGATGTTTATCTCCCCATCTACCTCTGAGGCTGAGCATTCAGGGCCGTAATTATTACCACGTTAGAGATAACAGCTGGGCAAGACAGTGCATGTATGAGCAGGGTTGTCATTATTGGAATACATCTTCCAACCAGAGAGAATGCAAAACCCAGGCATCATTTTGTTGAGTAAGAGGACACCAGTAAAATGTACAGGAACTATAAAATTGTTTCTGAAAATGGTTCCATTTTAGCCAAAATGGCTGCTGTCATTTGAATCAAACATTTCATCCTGTATCTTCTGACCTTTTGTCCTAATGATTCTTGCTTGTTCTTTTGGGTATCAAGCTCTTTGCGCACGTGTGTGTCTGTGGGGAGGGGGGACGGTGTTTGTGTAAAGAGGTATTTGTGGTCCTTTTCTACTATAATATTATTACATTTCCATATGTTCACTTAATAAATCCTTTCTTTACACTTTGTTTGATTTTGTAAAAAAATTATCTCAGCACCTGTGATAGAGTAGTTTGTAAGGGCGGTGTGCAAATGTATGTATTTGTGTGTGTGTGTGTGTGTGTCTGCACATGGTAAGATAAAGTCTTACTTCTATGTGTCTCCTCCTACTTTTGGGGCAATATTTCTGTGAATTACACTTTCTATTGAATTTGAGAGTGATGAGTTTGTGTTCTGAAGCTTATGTCATTGTGCAAGCAACACCTACTATTGATTCCTAGGATGAATATAGTGTTTGAATTTTGTTTTAAGTACACTTTACCCTGCCATGGAATTCTACTGTCTTCTTCACTAGCTGATTAAAATAAAATTCAGATTGTATTAGAAGAAATGTTATGAATGTGTTAGCTGATTAGTTGCATATTTAGATGACAGTCAAATTAGAAAGCATAGGACAACAATCCTGATTCTCATTAACGTGGAAAACTGTTCTCAGAATTCATCAGGAGGGATGTCAGGATGGTGACAGCTACCCATTCTGTGTTACTCCTGTTTTGATCTTCGTTAACAAAGAGTTGGTTCCACAATGGTGCTAAAAGGATGGGCTTACTCCCCAAGTCTTGGTATTTGAGTTTTGCTTGATTGCTGGCCTATTTGTTTATTATTTTAGCCTTCATTCAGTTCTGTGAAACTCAAAAGATGAGATGGCTCACAGTATGTGAGGCTTTCTGACAGTGCTTCCCAAAGATGGTGGTGCTGCTGCTGCCTCTGTCTGACAGACTCACCCTGAGCTAAGCAGCTCCTTTGCTCTCCTACTAGAGGAAAAGAGCCATCTTCCTAATGAGATTAGAAAGTGAAGATATAAACAAGACTCTGGAAAAGCTTAAATGAACATTTGCAATGTGGCTTTAAGTGGAGAAGCTCCTTCCTCTTAAATTTGATCCTAGAGGAGTGGAAAATCCTTCAGTGCATACAGATATGGCCGGCAAAGGGCCACACTAGGAGGTGAAGGTGCAGAGCAGGAAGGCTGCGGCATGGTAGCAATGACTGTGTGGGCACGGACCTTGTTTAGGGTAAGCGGAGGCAGTGGCAGGTGGGCTTAATCATGGGCTGGAACACAAGTTCTTATCCGTTATTTTAAGAGGTGTTTTCCATTAATAGGACCCCACAGTTCTGGGGAAATGGGAAAGTTATCTGGGCTGCGTGCTTTATTGACTAGAGACTGAGCGGGCCCAGATGTCATAATTTCCCTATTATCACTTTGCTGAGAGGTTCCTGGCTTCCCTTCATTATCTTGCTCCCCATTAGCAGTTATAAGTAGCTTCTTTATACCATCTGAACAGTGTGGGCTCCGTTTGGCTTCTGTTTGTGGGGACCCAGAGAGAGGGCGCACAGGGTCAGGATTTCTCGGCATCTCCACCACAGTTAAAGTGGGAAACTCAGCTTGTCTCTTTCTTGCCAGCTCTGGGGACATTTCCTTCTCTGTAACAGTAAGACAGTGACCTCAAGCTCCCTCCTTCTCCCGCAGGGTAGAAGATAAAGGTGGATACTCTGCACGTGGGAACACCAAGCAAGGCTGCACGTGTCCTAATAGAAGTCACCAGAGGTGAGTGTGGCCCTCACTGTGGGTGGGACAGCTTCTCAGGTGCGTGACAGTAAGAAGTCGAGTGGCCCAGCAGAGAGAGCAGGCGATCTGGTTAGTGTTTATATACTGCATTTGTGTCATTATCATCTGCCATCTCTTCTTGGAGGCTTAGCCAAGAGCCTCAGAAATTTATTATTTCATGAAGGATCAAGTTATTCTTACCTGGTTGAAGGAGTCAGAATATTCGAACTAGTGATTCCCGATGGAACTCTCGATAAGCATGGTACATGTTTCTTTATTCTCTTCCTGTCTGGGTTGTTTGGATTGTAATAAAGATGTGAATTTAGGGGCTTTTTTTGCTTTAGGGAATTGCTAGCAATGTCTGCTCTGTGTGTTCGGTCAATGACATTTTGCTTTTGGTTGTATGTATTGCTCCACTACCCCAGTTCACAGCTCACATTGAATTCAGGACCTAGAACAGTGCCATGGGCAGAGTCAAGCTTCAGAATTAATAGTGACCAGGAAGTAAAGAAATATCTTCTTCCTATCTGTCACTAGATGTGTGACTAGGGCCCCCGTTACAAAAGACAGATGAACAGTAGAACAGTATGCAGATTTATTTAACATAAATTTTATTAGGCACCTCTAGAGTCACAATGTAGATGTGCTCTTTACTTGCTAATTTACATTTAGAAAGGAAGGGATGAGTATGAATTTTTATCCTTTTCTTTCTATCATGTCTTGCAGAGATCTAAGGGAAGAACTTTGGGAAAAATTCTTACATTTCAATCGCTTTCTGTCAGTTATTGCAGGATTTTTATCTGCAGGCTCTGAAGTGAGGGGTTGACTCAATTGTCCCTTCATAGCTGCCAGCACCAAAGAAAGGAAAGGGTTCCCTCAACTCTTACAAGGCTCAAGGTTGGGACTGAAACACAGAAATAACAAAGACGGATTATATGCCATGGAGCCTTCCTGAGGAACTGAAAGACCAAGAAATGGGGGGAGTTGCATATGCAGTGTGATTGAAAACTACTATTTTTCCAACTTATAAACTTGGAAAAATGCACTACAATAAAAGATACCTTTGCATTAACCTTTTTCAAATATCCCCCTTCATCCTGGACACATGGACCCCATCGTTCTTGTCATTTTCTGAAGCAACTCTGGAAGTTCTTTTCCATTCAGGTCTCTAAGTTGTCTAGTCCTAGCCTTCTCAGTGCCCTAAGTTAATTTAAAATGTTTCTCATTCATGGTCATTGTGACTTTAGGGAAGAGCAAATCCTGACACAGTGTTAGACCCAAGGAGCGCGGTGGATGAGGACTCACCATCAGGCTTTTTCAAGCCTGTCCCTTGGATGGCACTCGGCAGTGCCACTCACCATATGTCTGACTACGCTTCACGTGAAAGTGGGCTTCCAACGCTGCTTCAGGAGGTGACAAGAGTGACAGATGAGTGTGTTCACAGCGAGGTGCGTATTCTGAAGGGGACCGATGGCCACATGTCTCTTACTGTAATACTTCTTTAAAATGTACCTATTCACCATGTATTTTGATCACACCACTCATGTGAGTGCTTGCCTTTATAAGGAGCGGACCACAGGGGAGGAACAGAATTGGAGAACAGAGGTAATCAGCTGGGGAGAGGTTTCCAGGACCTGTTTGTTTAGATCTTTCACTGCCTTTGCAGGAGGGCACTGCTCTTAGGAAGTCTTTTGATTTGTTTCAGGGGAGGTTAAACAATTCCTTCTAGAGCTTGTGGTCTGCCTCAGGGAAAGAAAAGGATCAGAAAGGTTTCTGCTTCTACCATTTCTTCAAATTCCTTTAGTTTAAAAAGCTCAGTATGCCAGAATGCTCAGTTTGCCCCAATTTGGGGCAACGTGCTCTGAGCCCCATCAACTGTGTGAAGCATGAACCTCTGTCTACCATGCACCAGCTGCATGAGGCTCATCTTCCTTGGCTTTAGGAGTGTGGATCAGCATCGTAAGCCTCTATGGCTGCCATGGGGAGAGTGAGATCATGTGTATGAAATCCCCATGTGGGTACCTAGCTTGTGACAGTCAGTGACTTAAAGTTGGGAGTTTTTTTTTTCCCTTCCTGCCTTCATTACCTTCCTCCTGGGCTTGTTATGAGCTACTAAAGGAATAACTGGTGCAAGTGTTCTAAAGCCTACAGAAATACATAGTGGTTTTATTATCATCTAGGGGGTCCAGGCAGACAAATGTAGAACCACAATGGCTCCGAGTATGGCCCATTTGAAAGACTTCCCATTCTCCCACAGGCAAATGAGCACAAGAAACACCATGAAGTCTGCATAATGGTGCTTTTGTTGGGACAGTGGGACAAAGAAAGAACACACAGCTTAAACTCAAGCAAAGCCAGGAGTTTGGTTGGAGAGCTTTAGATGCAAACCACCTTTACTGCTGAAGATCTTCCTTTTTTAAAAATGCATATCTATGGGTCGCAATGACCATCCAGGATGGGAACTGTGACCTACATCCTATTTACTAATTTATGATGTTCTAGAACTAAACCAGCAAGCAAGCAGAGAAACTTGCATTTTTAAGAAGTTCTTGGGAAGAAGCAATCTATTCATTTCAGCCTGCTGTCCAGTGCATATTACTAGAACATCTATGGTAAAGAAATATTTGTGTGCATGTGGTTCAGTGTGTTTATAGAGAAATAGGGTGGAAGCTTCATTCTATGGAGAAAGAAGGGAGAATCCTAACTGTAGACAGTGCACAGACTGTGCTATTGCTTATGTCTAGATGTTCCCCCAAAGCCTCATGCAGTCACAGGTGGGGCTTTTTCAGTAGGTGGCTGAATCTAGAATGTGTGACTGATTCATGATGCAATGCTAGCATTAAGGATGCTCTGAGTAAGGGTGGGTGATTACTAAATCAGTCCACTCATTGACTTGGCACTGCCCTAATCTCAGTAGCCTGGATACAATCTAAGGACAAAAACAGACTTGTTTAGTCTCTTGCTTGTTTGCTTCACAACCTTCTGCGTACAATGAACTGTTTCTCCTCTGCAATGCCTGTCTGCAGTGCCACCCTGCCTCCAATCCAGGTGATTGTGTACCGAAATCTCTACAAATCCTGAGCTGCATAATGGTTTCCTCTCTTAACTTGTGGGTGTCAGGTATTTTGTCTCAGCAACAAAAAAATAAGTAAGGCAGGCAAAAAGTATGCATGCAACCCAGGAACAATGAAAAATACTTGAGCCTTAGAAAAGAAGCCCAGATGAGGACTCAGAGGAAGAGCAGGGGATATTAGACACAGGCCCAGCAGGAAAGGAGAGGAAAAGGCAGCGTGTATGCACACAGCGGGCGCTTCACAGCCTCCTGGGGGAGAGCAGGAGTCTGTAACTAAGAATGTCCTCTGCATGGCGAGGGGGTGGAAGCCTGAGACAGAGGGCAGATGCACCCAGCGGGAAGCAGGAGGCATCACAGATCAGGGGAAGCAAAGAAGTTAGGGATAAAAGACCTGCCAGGTCACCCCCTGCCTCTCTACTGCAGCCAGCGCCTCTCAGCATTGTGGTCTGGTTTATATTTTTAAACATCTCTGAATTGCTATCCTCAGTCTTTCTCCAAATGCTTTGCTGCCGGAGGATGAAGTTGTTCCATTTTTTCTACAAACTCCAGTTTCTGAATATACCTACAGAATACATAAAGATTAGGAGAAAAAAAAGGAAAAGAAAAAAACAAAAAGTGAAGCCCTGAATCCAGACACGCACACCTGTTTGGCAGTCATTAAGCAGGCACAGCGTGCTGGGAGGCGCGGGCTGCCTGAGCGAGATGCTAACCCGCGGTCCCACGGGGCCTTGTCTACAAAGGTAATGATCCACAGATTTCCAAAATGCTGCTTAGAGACTTGGCTTGGCTGCGATGGTTTGGGGAGGAGAGGAAAGGAAGAAAGAATGAGAGACAGAAAACTCAGTGGAAGGAGAAGAAAGTGATGCAGGAGATGGGAGGAGAGGAAGAGAGAGGAGGAAGTCACTTTGAGGAGCATAGGATAGTGGGTCACGGTGGAGAGAAAGGGGTTAAGAGACTATAAAAAATTATCCCATAGGTCGTGACCTGTGGGATAATTCACTGGCTTTGAAACATTTTAGCATATAATACGTTTTTGGAAATATCTCATGACTGGTACTATGGTTCTTTAGACAATGCTGGTCATAATCCCTAAATAGACTTCTTTTTTTTAAAGATATATTTTATTAGTATCTGTTAATTTCACAAAATCTTAGGTTTCACTATGATATTCTCATACATCCATAGGAAGTGTTCTGATCATCCCCACCCCTCATTAAATTCTTTAAATCCTGCTTTGTCCCTTCTTATTTAGTAATTGTCTCCCTTCTATTTTCATGCCGTTTAAAAATATTCCATAGTAGGGAAAATGTGTGATGCTTGTCTCTTTGAGTCTTACTTATCCTTTGCCAGGATGACCTTCAATTGCACCCATTTTCCTGAAAATGACACAGTGGTGTTCTCCTTTATAGCTGAATAATACTCCACTGTGTGTATATTCATTTTCATTATCATTTGCATTACCTGCTCATCCAGTAATGGGCACATAGGATGGTTCCACCTCATCACTATTGTGAACTGTGCCAGCAGGCAGGATGTGCAGATATCCCTGTGACAAGCTGACTTTCATTCTTTGTTTGTGCACCAAGGAATGATGCAGCTGAGTCATATGGTAGTCTTATTTTAATTTTTGAAGAATCTCCATAATGATTTCCACAATTACCGTGCTAATTTTCACTTCCACCAGCAGAGTAAAAGAGTCCCTTTCCCCACATCTTCATCGCCATTTATTACTTGTTTTTGTAATATTCTTGTTTGTCATTTTCTATCATTTTTCTCAATTTCAATTATTTGTACATGTTTGCAGTACATAGTATTACATTTCTTCTTGCGCGGTGTTGGTAGCTGTGCATAACACAACTTATTTCTTTTATCATTCTTTCCTCTTCCCTTCTCCTGGTTCCTTCCCTTTTATCAAAGATCTGTCCCCCTGTTGCCTATTGTCCATCATTCTTTTGCATTTTTATTCATATTTTGTGTTTCTCACTTAAGAGAAACCATGTGACATTTGAGTTTGTGTGTCTGATCCAGGACTTAGAACATTAGCCAGAGCAATCAGGCAAGAGAAAGAAATAAGACATGTTTTTCTATTCATAATGATAGCGATTCTGATTGGGGTGAGATAGAATCTCCATGTAGTTTTGATTTGCATTTCTCTAATTGCTAAAGATGTTGAATATTTTCTCATACGCTGTACTTACTGGCACCCAAATAGATTTCTTGATGCAATGTTTGAAAAATTATATGGAAAATGATAAAAAAAAAAAACAGCTGAAAATTCACTGCTCCTTAAAGAATCGCGTGTATACTAGTGGCGTCCAACGAAGGTCAAAGGTCCTTTCATATCTCTTTCTATCCTGCTCTCTGCTCCACTTGTTTGCTCCAAGAACACTGATCTTGGCAGGGCCTTTGGGCTAGTTGTCTGGGGTGTGTCTCTTCAGGCTCATTCCTTCTTAGTGTTTGGATCTTACTTGTAAATAATATGTTTTTCTGGGTGCAAGCTTCTGAGTTCAGGAGGGGACAGATTTTCATCTCCATGATAAATAGGAATGAAAATGAGAAAGCCTGAATATCAGCTGTTTACGTATTATAAAGTTAAAATAACCCACACTGAGATAAATCTCACTTCATTTAGAGAGATCGCCTCCTCAGCATTTTGTATTTTATAACATTCATAACTTTCATTTAACCTTATTTTCTTCTTTTTGCCTCTGCTCTTCAGTAGAACCTAAGATCTAGGAAGCCATAGAATGAATATGAGATCCATATGCCAGGAACAGTGTCATGGTATAAATATGAAGTTCCTCAAAGATGTATGAATTGAGGACTTTGTGCTCCTTAGCAGAAGTGTTCAGAGGGAAACCTTAGAAGTTGACCAGACATTAGAGGTGCTAACCTCATCTGTCCATGTATTCATTTATCGCTAACTGTGCTGCTAGGGTGTGGGGTCAGTTGGAGTCACAACCTGAAAGGCTGTATCTTTTCCCTTGGCCCCTGCATCACTCTCTGACTCGTTCTGCTCTTTGCTTCCTAGCTGCTGTGCACTGAGCAGCTTCCCTCTGCCTTGTCCTCCAGCCATAATTTTTCTTCACTGGAGCCAGTCAGCCACAGACTGAAACTTCTCAAACCCTGAGCCAATATCAACCTTTTGTCCTTTCGGTTGTGCATGTCAGGTGACAATGATAAGATGACCGATACGAATGGTATGAATGTTGTAAACATTTTTCCCTTGAAACCATTCTAGTTGGATACGGGGTATCTGATATAATGGGTGATGCTGACACACCTGATGTAAGAAAGTTGTCCTGGTTACTTTCGCATCACTGGGACACAATACCTGATGCCTGCAAATTAGAGGAAGGAAGATGTGTTTGTCTCACAGTTTGTAGTGGTTTCAGTCCATAGTCTGGTGGCCCCAAGGCAGGATATGCATGGCAGAGAGGTAGGTACAGTAGAGAAGTAGCTGCTCATATCATGGTGACCAGGAACAGAAGGAGTCAAGGCAGGAGTCAGGAAGGGAAAAAAACTCTTCCAAGTCACACCCCTGAGACCTCCGTCTTCCCACCAGTGCCTGCCTCCTAACAAGTCAGATACATCTCTTTCAAAATCCAATCACCTTTCAGAAGCCTCACCTATGAATACAGAGGCTTTAGGGAACATTTTGGATCTAAGTCATAATAGAAGTTTTAAATGCACTGTAAAATGTGAGAAAAATTGGGAAGCCATTAAAAAGTATGAGAATGTGGACTTGAATCACATCGAATAAGTAATAAACCTCAGGGCACAGAAACAACACCAAATCCTCTCTCAAGCATGCCAGGGCTCTTGAAATAAGCAGACAATATCACTTTCCTCTCGACCTTTGCCTCTAAGCTTGATAGTTTTTAAATTAGAAGCCATTAATACTAATTTAAAAAGTGGAAGGTTCTGAGTGATGGGATTCTTAAAATGAACTGGTTCTCTCTCTTCCCGTTCTCCACTCTCACTTCTCTAAAGAGTGTGCAGCTGTCTGTCTGTTTTACTCTTTCACTATTTTACCCCAGAATGACCTTTGAGAGACTGGAAAAATCCAAGCACTGACCCTACTTGCTGATGTGACTCAGAGGACGGCAGTCTTCCCTTTGGCTCCCTGGCAGACCAGCAAGGCTCCTCTTCAGAAGAGCTTTTTGTTGCACAGATCACACACTAAGCCTTAAAACAAATAAGATGAAAATGCAGTGTATCCTCCAAAGTCACAAAGAGCTGAGTGCCTTGGGACCAAGGAGGCACAGTAAAGGTGAGGACACTGGGCATCATGCACAATATGGACTTGAGATGTTCTCATAATTGGGTGTCAGTAGAATAGAGTGGGATGCTCAAGGGTGTTTAAGAATGTGAGGGCAAGATTTGTATTCTTCTCTGCCACTTATAGTCTGGGTGATCTTGGGCTGTCCCTTAACCTCTCTCTGAGCACTGGCATCTTCATGTGTAGAATGGAGGTGAGTATGTCTCCCTTGAGCTGTGAAGGTTAATGAGGTCATTCATTAATAACACCTATGCATATCTACTGCTAACACTCCACAAGCACAGATGCAATTCAGCTTACACAGGGGATAGATCTTAAGAAACCCATGATAAACTGAAACTGTAGTTTCAAATGCATTTAATACATATTTGGTAGTTTAATCCATAAATCGAGATTATGGATAAGTTCCTGTTGAATGAAAGCTTGTTTTTTAAAAACCAAGAGTTAGCCCATTTGTGTGCTAACCTACAAACATTGTGTTCTGTACAGTATCAGTTGTTTCTTCCATGAATGTGAAGTTGGCTGGCAGCCGGATTTATCTGTCACTATGCAGTGTCAAGGAGAGGATTATAACTGTTTCTCATTCACAGTGAGAAAAGTCAAAGGGCATGAGGAAGTGTGGACAGGTGTTGAGTTCAGTTTGGAGTGTGTTGATTTTAAAACATCTCTGAGGCTCTGAAGAAGAGATGGTTTCTCTTAAACAAATAAAGATCAAAATAAAAGATAGTAGGAAGCAGAGATAGTTCTTTCTCTAAGGAGAAGGGCATCAAGAGATGAATGTACCAACTCCATACAACTAATGTAAATATATACTGCAACCAAGGACACGCACACACAAGGGAAGGGCATCGAGAAATGGGTGGGGGAGGGAGGGAGAGAGGAAGGGAAAAGGGGATGAAAAAGGAATTAAGATACATTATGCTCAAGTGCCCACTCCCTCCCGGGAATGCAGGGATCATGTATTACAAACAGGATCCAGTAAAGAAGACGATCTGAACTAAGAAAGAGAGAAGTACAGTCACAACTTCTGGGCAGATAGTAATTTGGAAATTATTAACATACAGGTGGGAGTCACTGAACCCCAAAAGTACTTCCATTTTTTAATAGAATCAGGGTGAAAACAAGGTGTTTTCTTAGTCCTGGGCTTCTTGCTCGTATTGCATTTGTGTATAAGAGACCTCCACTACGGCTCATTCCTGACTGTCTTAGATTTCTGAGCTACAGTTTCTGCATTCTTTACCTGAGGTGTGTGTGCATGTGCGTGCGTGCGTGCGTGCGTGCGTGCGTGTGTGCGTGCGTGTGTGTGTGTGTCCAACCTTAGCATTTGAAGATGTAACTCTTGGTAGAATTCATTCAACAACAACTTTGCAAGCCACATTTATGGGCTAAATTTGTGATTTAAATCACAAATCTCAATCCTCATGAGGCTTTCAGGCCTGCGAGAGCACGAACAAATCTAATATAGAAGACAAATGGTAGTAAGACCTGTGAAATTAAAGCATGATGCATGGTGATAGTTGTCCTTCTGCAAAGTCAGGGACGATTTCCTCGAGGAAGAAACATTTATCCAGAGGGTTAGAAAGTAAGCTGCCAGAGGGAGGGTGGTAGGCTGCATGATGGACAGAGGGGAGCCTCCATGGAAGAGGGGCGAGTTCAACAATTGTCAAAAGGCAACATAGGATATACGGCTTTTTTCAGATAAAGCCAATTATATGAGTAAAAGATGAAGAGAGAAAAGAGCTGAAAGTTAACTGAGAGTTGGAGACATAATCCAGGTCACGCTGAGCCTTTTCAGCCCTGTCAACACTGGGGATCTCATACTGAGTACAACGGATGCCACCAAAGAGTTTCCAGCGGTACATAAACAGGGGTGATGCGATCAGATTTCTTTTTTAAGAAGATTTCTCCTGTAGCTTTGTAGAGAACCACTGATGGGAACCAAGACCAGAAGGAGAAGCAGAGAGACCTGCTAGAGACCCTCAGTTGCCCCAGGGGAGAGGACGGAGGTTTAGATGACAGAGACAGCCGGAGGATTTCCTTCAGACCTTCAGGATTTCCTTCTCGGAGGCAGATTCAACCAGGCTGGGGTATGAGGGGAAGAGAGGGCACTGTCCTGGGTGACTCTTAGGGTCCTGGGTCTTCTGAGTTCAAGTGACCTTGGGAGAGTCTTGAGGGCCACCAGCTGATGATAGCACAGTATCATGACAAAACCATTGCTTGTGAATGTACTTCTTGATTCAAATACATTTTCCACCTGAATCATTATATATTAGTAAAATATGTTAATCTCTGTATTTCCCAATACATTTTCTCTCAAACTTCAGGGATGTACCCATTTTCATCAACTGAGTCTAGTTATGAAACATGACGAGCCAGGCTTTGCTGATTCTTCGTGATCTTAAAATGTTTCACTGGGTGGGCTTAAGCTGGTCTCCCTCTACCCTTGGTACTTCTATTGCAGAGATGGACATTCCCGAGTAGATAAATTAGGGCTCTTTTGAGGTGAATTCAGGTAATATGTTAGAGTTGCATCCATTCCAAAGTCAGTACTTAATGGACTTAAGAAGTATTCTTAAATCTCATCAGACTTATAGCTGGAATCTTCTGATAAGGCAGGCAGAGGGGACATCAGAACAAATTCATTAGATTAAAAAATAATCTAATAAATTCAGGATGTGGACTATCCTACAGGACAGAATTTGGTCTCTTAAACAGTAAATATCACGGGTAAAAGAAAGAATAAAGAGACATCAACAAACACATTAGACAAAATTTGGTTAGATCTTGGTTTGGTGGAAAATAGTTCTAAAAGTTTTGGTGGGGACAGTGGAGAATTTGAATGTGACTCACAGGAATCACTTTTCTAAGGTTTAATGATGGTGTTATCATATAAGTCTTTTAGGAGCTTCATTTTGAAGTGTTGGGGCTAAGTGATACAATGTCTATAATTTTGTAACATTTCAATAAGAAACATGGATATATAGATGGATAAAGCAAATAAGGAAAGTTGTGAACACTTCTATCCATACTTGATAAATGATTTTTCATTGTCCTATTCTCTCAACTTTTTTACGTTACTTGAAAAACTAAGGTTGAAAAGTGACACAAAAGATAAAAATTTGACCCCCAGCAAAGCAACCCCCAGCATTTTCAGGTGAAGAAGTTGGTTGGTATTTTAGACTCTGATCTTTGTAAAAAACAAAACATCAACAACAAAACCCTATAACTTTCAACAGTAGACTCGTATTTAACCTAAGAAGGTGCTCACTTCTAGTAGATCTTCCCATCCAACATTCCACTTTCATGGAAATTGATGATCACGGGCTGAACTAAAGGCCAGAGCACTTGCACTGTACTGATTGCTGACTTCCCTTCTTGTAATTTGATTTGCCTGAGTAGTATGGCTGACTCTGTGTGGACTCAATACATCCGTGATGCAGCTAAAGGATGATTTGTTAATTGAGAACTGCGCAGCAGACATGTAACAAATGTTATGCTAACAGCACAGAGCTCATCATGTTAGGCCAGTGGTCCCTGTGTCTGTGGACAGATTCCTATTGTTCCTGTCTATCTCTACTGTCAGTATCTACTTCCCACTCTTGGTCTTTCTTTTCTTAGAAGCTGGATGCTTTAATTCTGGAGGAAAGGAGAATCTGAATCTTATGACCAGTTTCCGGATCAGGTCATTATAGGCCAATACTTGTAAATTTCCCAAGGCAGGAGCAGATGCAGGTGGGGGCTGATGTTTATTCAGTTGTGACTCTCCTTATGAAAAGGAATATAAAATTACACTTATAAAATTAGATATAGACATGAATGTTTATTTAGAATGAGAAAAGAAGTCATAACAAATCAGAGGGTTTTTTTTCTTTTAATCTACCAAGGTCTATAACCACCATAAAATCCAGAAAAACAAACAGCTTAAATTTTGAAAATAATTAACTTCTTGACACATGGTTATAATACTTTCCCCTACATTTAATTTGACTGCATCCCATAATTCTTTATCTGACAAAACCTTTGGAAAATTACTGACACTGGAGACAATAGGAAGATAATTCCATCTTCCCTTCAGCTTGGCTAATCATTTTCCTTATTGAAAGATTTGAAGTTTCTCTTGTCTTAAATTTGTTATTGGAAATGTCATGTATATAACTAGAATTATTGTTGTATTGAGGGAAGCAGCTATTAAATATTTTTCAGGTGGAAACTATTAGAATTCAAGTTGTTTTCAGCTTACAGGTGCAATGACTAATCACAAATTCTCTTTGAATTGACAATACTCATTAACCAGTTTTTCATCAATATCACTATGAGATTTTTTTTGTCAGCCATGAAATTTCACATAGCTAGTCCAAGAGAGTCAGTGTAATGGACAATTGGGGTGCTTTTTAAATAAACTGTTCCTGCTCTAGGACACCTAGCAATCACCGAAGGATGACATAAATAACAGAAAGCCACATAAACTTATTATAGCAAACCAGCAGTGAATGTACCCTCAACTTACAGTCTATTTTGCTGGAGCCCGGAAGTATTGCTGACTACCCAGATACCATCAGGAATGGAGAAAATTGTGATGTGAGAAAGTTAAAGGCAAAAAGAGAGAGCAGTAGATAAACTATGTTATTTTCAGGTTTTATGGAAACATATGAACATATCAACACATTCCAGGGTGACTCTAGTATCTGTGCAAATGAAGGCTCTGGATTTTAACTTAGCATCTTCCTATTAAACCCTGCTGTGCTTGAGGTAAGCTTGTGCATTTCATGTAAAACTCTAGCATTTGGAACAATAGAATGATATATGGACTTTAACTGGTTGTTAAAATTAAGTTTTAGTTGATTTCTTTGGAAATACATTATAGTAATATACATGTTATTTAAGAGTCTCAAATAAAATAAGCTAAATAAAATATTCCCCAAATATCATTATTCAAACTTCTCTCTATATAATTCATATATCTCTAAAACATCTTCTGACACTGTGGGTTTCAAGGCTATTGAACAATGGATTCTCCTGATGTACTTTTAGAAAAATAACAGTGGGTATGACATGTGCAATAGTATTTTTTAAAGCTCTCCAGGTGGTTTTAATGTTCAGCTGGAAATTGGTATCTACACTTCTAATGGTTGGAACACTTTTATTTTTTTATTTTTTGGCTTAAATGTCAAAATATTTTTCTAGTTCCTCCTGGACTCTTTCAAATGAAATACAAGGATGTAAGATTCAGGAAATATAGTATACATGCAGAGCACAATAGGTATAATATAAAATATATCTTTGTTAAAAAAGGAACTATCCTAGTAAAAATTCCTGTTCATGTAGAACACAGTACCAGGGTGTGCTGACAGGGCGAGATAGGAATCAGAGGAGGTGAGCAGCTCCTAATTAAAAATAAAATTAATTTTCTACCAAGCATTCTCTGCTGTACTTGAAGGCAAATGCAATTTTGTTGGTATAATAAAGGGTGCAGCAAAGAGGTCAGCTACAAAGACTGTTTTAAGCAGCAGTGTGTCCAGTGTAATAAATCTATTCCAGCTCATCAGACACCCACATTTTCTCACCGTGGCTCAGGAAACCTATTGAGTTGGGCAGAACAGCCAGCTGGCTGCCACACTCTCGCCCGTGCAAGAGGCCATGTATTGCAAACAATTAATATCTACTTGTTCAGTCTGTCCACACCGACTGCTCTGCTCTTACATCTCCTCACATGGCTAATTTTGAGAGCATAATGATTTTATGATGATGAGAGAAAATGAGAACTTTTTCCAAAAGAAAAATCAGAAAGAAAATCAGAAAATAAGAACTTTTTCTAAGTGAGAAATTCAGTGCTTCAAAAGTTATTCATTGCCTAAACAGATTTTATGCAATCTTTTCAGAGATGTTTTACTTCTTTAAGCAAATTTTTAAAATTCTATATGCCTCTCTTTATGGTTGCATCATTCAAACCTTTGTATTGATCAATAAAAGTATTTTATATGTACATTTAAAACTGTATAGTAGACTGAGTGCTCCTAATCTGAAAATCCAAAATCTAGAAAGATGCAAAATCTGAAAAGTTTTGAACATCAATATGACAGTGGAGAATCATACATCAGATGTTATGTTGTCAGATCACAGTCAATGGGGGCATCATAAAAATGTTTAAGGTGTATGGGAAACATAGATGAATTTCATGTTTAGACCTGGGTTCCATTTTCAAAGTAATACATAATGTATAAGCAAATATTTCAGTATATGCAAATATTTCAATATCTGAAATATCTTTTTTTAAATATATATTAGTGATCTGTGAGACAACTTTATTTATTTATTTTTATCAGTACTGGGGATTGAACTCATGACTGCATGCTTACAAGGCAGACGCTTATGCCTCTGAGCTAAATCCCCAGCCTCAATATCTGAAATATGTGACTCTACATAATTTAGTCAAGGACTGCTAAACTTGTACAGATTCTTGATCCTGAAGAATGATCCTGCACCAATATAAAGAATGTGCCACTGGCCATTGTGGACTGATTTCCTACACTCACTGGAGCTTAGATCTGGAAGGGCTTAGAAGTGGTTTCCAGCTCAAGAAGGATTTATAACATGGTAGAAGGTAAAAACAACATAAAGAATGTCAAGCCGAAATAAATTCTGCAGTAAAAAGCAAGCATTTGATGCCAGAGCCAAAACATTTCTTTCTATTTTGCTCTCTTAGAACTCATTGGGCTGGAGTGAGGAGTCTTAAAACTGTAATGACAGCATCCACCATCCATTATATATGCTTTGGAGCAGGTAATAAGGCTAAAAAATATGTCCTTAGCCTATCAAGAGAAAAGGACTTTTCAATTCTGGGCAAAAAAGAAAAGCCAAAGGTACAATGTAATACACAACAGTAAATATTCTAAGAATCCAACTAAAAGAAATGGGCTTGATTTAAAGCTGGAGGAATTTCTGTTCATTGTAAAAGCAGGATTTTTGGGTAATTGCCAAACTAGTGTCATCTTACTGGTTACTTAAAGTGGGAGGTGATCTGGCCAAGGTGGGCTCTCACGCTCCATCCTGACTCAGCAAAATCTTCCTAAAACACATTAGGCATGTACTTACAATCTGACAGTGGCATTTCTAGCTTTCAGAATCAAGCATATGGAATGCTAGAAGGTTTTTTTTTTTTTTAAATAGTAGCCTTCTACCTTCATCTCCAATTTTGTTTTCCTCCATTCCTTCCTCCACACACTAAACTATATGTAGTATATACACACTCACACACATGCATACTCAGAGGAGAGAGAGAGAGAGAGAGAGAGAGAGAGAGAGAGAGAGAGAGAATGAGAATAAGTCTCCATTTTCCTCTACCTTTTTGCATTCTGCTTGATTTACCAAATCTATTTGATGCCTTCTTTCTCCTTCTCCTCCAGCTCCAGGAAATCTTGCTCAGCCATTTCTTTACGAGTTTCTTCTAAATTTGAACATACAAAATTAATCACACTTATATCAGCAATCCTGAGTTTCTAAAGTTTCATAAATTCTTCTGTGTGTTTACGACTTTCTTTTACTATTTATTTCACTACTCGAATGCTAGCTTCTTGGAGGCAGGAACCATTTTGATTTTTTGTACATTCAGTGTATTATGAATGAATGGTGAACCAGCAAGAAGAGACACACAATTGTTTGTTCCACTAAATGGAAAGAGTTGAATTATTCATAAGTCTCATTACATACAAACATAGCCATATCACTTGTTATTTAAATCTCAGTTGGGTAAATCTCTGATTTTTTTAACCCAGCTATTCTCTAGAAAGTTTTCTGAGAAAGTTTTTGGTGGATTAAAGAGGGCCATTCTTTCTTCATTGTCATTCTTCTCATGGAGAGAAGAAGTCTGGTTCTACTCTTGATCCTAGGCTGGTCTTAGTGACCTTTTCACCAGACAAACATCAAGTGACATTCTAGACTTCAAAGGCTAGATCAACCTACTCTTCCCTGATTTTCTTGGAATACTCTAAGATTCTAAACTGCTTTGTATCAAGTACGACTATCTTGAGAACCTTGTGCTAGAAAACCTTTTCTGACTGATAGGCCCAGGTAAGTCTGACCACACCAACCACCCTGGCGAAGGGCAACAAGTCAACTAATCCTTCTTTGATCCTTGGCTGGATACTATCTAAGGGTGCCTGTTAACACCACATGAAACAGAAGAATCATCCAGCTGAGCCCTGCCTGAATTTTCAGGCTGTAAAATTCAGCAATAATCATAAAATTGATCCAAACTTCTGCATTTTGGAATAGCAGGAGACAATTGGAACCCAGACTGAAAGAGTTTTGGCCCAGACAGGACACTGTAGTTGGTAAAGCCTTGGAGGCTGAACCAAGGAGCTCCATTTTCCCCACTCCTAGGAATTTGCATCTGGCACAAAATGAATACCAATGAAATACCTGCGCATCCATAATGCCCCTCAAGCTCCACCCTAAACCTAAGCTACATCTAGGCCCCCACTCCACATGTCCCACGGAGAGATCGAAGACCCTGGGGAGATGCCAGACCCCAGGGAGTCAGGGGGGTCTCTCCCCGCATTCTTAAAATAAAGGTCATTTATATTTCATACTTCTTATCTTTTCAGCCACCGCCACAATTCTATCACAAACTATTTTCATTCAGTTCCATTTGATTGTTTAGCATCCTGCTCAGCTCAAACAGAGGGACTCCTGCTCTGAGTACTTAAAATATTCAATTAATATACTTCTACTGTCCTATTTTCTCTACATGAATTCTTATAATTTTCAGACTTCTCAAGTTTTAATATTCTCTCTTTTTCTTCTCTCCCGCCATACTCCCCATACTGCCACTGTTACCATTCTCTGAATCTTCTTCCTTGTATTTTCAAGATAGCCGTGTAGAATGATTCAGCAGATGAAGCTTGAATAAGTATTCAGACCAATGATAAAAAAGTTGGAGCCTCTTTATCTGGGGAGAACTTTAGAACAAGAAAAGCAATAGATAATTATTGGATGAGTGTTTTGAACACTCCTTATATCAGATTCAGAGAGCTTGCATTAGACATTCTCTCATGAGTCCTTTCTACTAGAAAATTGTGTGACAGACTCAGATGCATAGGATGAGTTACAGCCCTGAATCATGTAAGCTACTGAATTCTTAGCAGTACCATTCGATTACAAGTAAATAACTGCTTGAATTGGGTTTTTGCTATACATTCAAAGAATTTTATCCTTTGGGAAGATGTTTCATTTTAAAAAGAACTGTAAACATGAGTTTCTTCCAAGTATAATTAGTGTTTATTATTATATTGATTTCTTTTCTGGTATTTTGTAGATTACTGTAATTTTTTGTGCTCTGTGAACATTTCTAAACTTTATCTGCAATTTCCACTAGTAGTACGTTTAATTGTTACTCAAATGTATTTTTAAAATCTATGTTGTTTATAAAATAGAAGGGAATCTATTTTACACTTTTGGGTTGTTATCTAATCCATGCACTTCAGAAATCAACCATCATTTCCCCAAATGACAGTAAGATACTTATCTCGGAATGTGGGCAAGATACAAAATTGTGCTCCTTTCTTCTCTGGGAGTGTAACCCTCAAACCAAATGAAGACAAACAGCATAATAACTTATATATTAATGTGTAATAATTAATAGTTTTGATAATTGAATAGCTTGTTATGTTGACCTTTAAAATGTGCTCAGTTAACCAGTGAAAAAATTTTTAAATTCAAAATAATCCTGGTTTCCAGCTATTCTATATCTCCCACCAAACACAGCAAGAGTAGAAAGATCTCTGCATGTGATGTGTTGAACAGGCAAGAGATGGCTATGGGTTAATCCCCATCCTCAAGCAGCAGAATTAGAAGTAGGGCACAGGAGAAGAGCGGGAGGAGGCATACTGTGGAAGGTCCCACTTTCCTGTTGCCCGCCGGTTCTTGCCAATGTGGTAAAATCTGGTTCCTGTAACTGATAGACCCCACAGCTATAAGGTTCTTATCTTCAAGTCTAATTAAAGGTAGAGATGGAATCAGGGTGGAACAGACCCACAGAGAGCTTCCCTTCTCTCATCAACATGATCAGGAAGGAAAGGCAATGTCATACGGAGCCCAGCCTAAAGCAGTTACATCAGGAGAGCACTGATGTAATCACGCATGCAGAACTCAGAACAGTAAAGTCTCAGAGAGTGGAGGCTCAGGAAAAAGAAAGAGAAATTAAAACCATGCTTTGTGATGCAAGTTTGCCTCCAGGACCGGAAGCCAAGTCTGAGATGCTGTGAAGCACATCTGTTTTAGGAGGTAGAAGAGTCCAGATGGAGAGTAGCACCATTCTTGCTGGCCTAGCTGAATAACTACATGGTAGAAGGAAAGTTATTGATTCTCTGTGCCTCAGTTTCCCCCTCTGCAGAAGATAATATAGCTGAAGGTAATTTGTGATGTATTAAATAGATTCATTGTTATAGTTCTGAAAATGCAAGGTACTCTATAAATGCTCATTTTTCTTACATAGCCATTGTAGGAAATTTATTGTTTCCTTGATCTTTATTTTCTTATTTCTTTTCTACATATTTATAGATATGCAGTCACCTAGTAACTGTATCAGGTAACATAGCACTAAAACTAGAAGTTAAAATTACCCATTCCATTTGTGGGTGACTGAGAGTAACTGAAATTATCACGAGAAGCTTCTTATCTCCACACAGTGTCGCAGGCTCTCTCTTAAATTTTGTCCTAGCTTATTATATTTTTCAGCTTGTGTACTAGTGAATCCATTTATAAATCATTTAAATAAATGTACAAGTTGGATCACTGGGCTCTAACAGGCAGGAGCAGTTGGTCTGTTTACTAAATTGTTATTGCTGCATAAAAATAATTATCTAGCATTTATCAATTGTGTCCTAAAATATTCTATGTAAATTGTTTAACTATGAGGAGAAGAAATGAACATGATGAAAGAAAGTTGAACACGATTTAACATTAAAGAAACTGAGATTGCCTTCTCCCTAATTCAGTGGACACCTTTGCTCCTGTATTGACTTTACCATGTGTGCCTGCGTCTACAGTATGCAGGGAAGGAAACCAATGTAGAACACTCCTGTGTGCATTCCTGCAAGCCTAGGTCTGCTTGTGAAGAAGGAAGAGCCTGAAAGCAAGGGATATATCATAGTACCTGAAATAATAGCAGTTTTGCAAGTCAAATGCGTCCCTGAAATACAGAAAAGTACTGTTTGAATGAACATTAGTTTATGTGATTTTACAGAAATTACTAATTTCAAAGTCTTCATCTTTAAAATGAGAATAATAATGCTTACCTCACCAACCTCATTCATATGTGCCTAAGGCTGTATTTCACATGAGGCCCTTTGATAACCTCTGTGGGTATCAAGTAAACTGATTCTATTTCACGTCCTTGAGGTGTTTAACAGCTCTGTTGTGAAGAAGATGATTCCAGTAAAGATGATACTGTGAGCTACCAAAGTAGGTAATGATTCGTTTTTTAGGATAGAGGAGGTGATTGAGAATAAGAACACAAAAACATTTGGCTTAAAGAGACACCTGAGGTTATTATTTAAAGCAAGAATAAGAGAAGCTAGAAATAAATTGGATTTAAGAAAAGTATCTGGAAGAAAATGTCCTTCATACATTAACAAAAATCATAATTAAGCCAAAACAACTCTATGACAATGATAGGAAATGGAACAGAGGAAGAGAGAGGGAAGGGAAGGGTTGGATAGGAAATGAATGACACTGGTTCTGAGTGACTGAGCCCTAAGCAAGATGAATGCTCCTTTTTTTTTTTTTTTTTTTTTTTTTTTTTTCTCCATGTCAAAGTTGAAAGGTGGGCTCGTGACTAGAATGGCACTTTATGGTGTCAGGGACTTGTGTTTTTTCTCTGGTTCTGCCATATGCAACCTCATTCCCTAAGCCACTGTAAGTCTAGGATGACTTTGAGTCCAGCAATGAAAACCACATTTTCACAAACAGAAAGGAACAAAGGAAGGAGGTCACTCTTCAGTCCATATTTCCACTTATCCTTACCTTCTTTGATCACATCAGGAGGGAAAAGGTAGAAATACAGTTCTTTATTCTGGGGAGCAGTTGTGCAGATAAATGTGGTCATGACCAAAGCAATGGAAAAATGATTACTGGGGAGCACTGCAGTTTCCTGACAGTGTATGTTTTTATGTGTGCACGTGTGTATGTATGATTGTATCCATGCGAGTATGTGTACCTGTGAACATGTCAAACAGCCAGAAGAAAGGTGAAGACTGAATGGAAAGGTGTGTGAGAAGTTACTTAGTCAGTGGGATATAGAGTTTTAGAAAATGAGGGAATTATTCCAGGACAAATATCGATCTTACCAGTCTATAGTTAATGTTTCACAAAATGTGAGTCCTAAGTTAGAACACATTGACAGATATGAATGGCTAGTAGAATTAAGTTGATTCCTCAATTATGTTCTCATAATACTTTATATCAATGTCACTAAATGGTGCTTTGTTCTCTAGACCATAAAGTCTCTAGATAATAAATAAGGTTTTGGGGAGGTGGAAAAATATACTCTCCTGTTTCATGTTCCATTCCTTCCACAGAGAAGTCCACCATTATAATTCTGCAACCTGGAACCAGAGATATAGCTCAGTGGCATGGTGCCTGCCTAGCAAGTGTGAGGGCAGGAGTTTGATTCTCAGTACCAAAACAATTTAGCAGGGTGTGGTGGCACATAGCTGTAATACCAGCACTTGGGAGGCTGAGGCAGGAGGATTGCTACAAGTTCAAGACCAGCTTAGGCTACAATGTGAGCTAAAGACCAGCCTGAACTGCAAAGTGAGACCCTGAGTCAAAAAAAAAAAAAAAAAAAAAAAAAAGTTCTGTGACCTCTTCACCCCTGGGATCAAGTTAGAGGGAAATGTTAAGTAAAATAAATCTGGCACACAAGCTTAAATGTCACAGAACTTCTCTTACATGAAAAACTCAAAGTATGAATATTTTTTTTAAAATGAAATAAAAAACAATAGCAAAAAGGCAGATAGATCTTTTGCAAATGAAAATGGGATCTGGAGACAGAGAAGTGGATGGAAGGGGGGAAATTAAGGTATGTCGAGCACACATACCTACTTGATAAGATGAACATAAACATTATGCATTGCAAACATTTTCTAATAAAAAATTAGAAAGAGAAAACCCTGTGAAGGAGGGAAGTGCCCATGCCACCTTTCTCATACTTGGTCCACCTGAGAGCTGGTCACAGCCCTTAACTCAAGTGTGAAACAGTGACTTGCAAGTGTGGATTTGCACAGGTGTGCCTGGCTCTGCCTTTACTCCTTTAAAGCCTTAAAACCTGTGTTTGTGCTCTGGATTGCCCTTGCCCACGTGATAAATTGTGCTCTGGTGTTTTAGAACCTTGCAGCTGGGTGATAACTGCACAGAAGTCTGGTGGCCAGCCTTGCAAAGCCCTCCTGTCTGCACATGTGATGCACAGCCTCCCAGAGCAGCTTTAGCAGAGCAGCTTAAGGCGTGGAGTTCATCCATCACTCTGTCTCATTCCCCAATTGAGCCAATATTTTAATGGGAACGAGGTAGTTTTATGTATTGGGAATCCTCAAATCCCAAGTCTGTCTGTCAGTCTATCTTTCTCTCCCATCCCACCCTATTCTACTCTACCCAGATGAGCCTATCCTATAAGCTTATCTATCAACCTCCCCATCTAATCCATTATCCATGTAATAGTGAATGGAAGTATGGATGAATGTCGACCTTGTGGCTGATCTTAAGTACTTTAGAATTTTAACTTTAGTGAGAAGGGTATTATCATTTAGGTAAGCGTGGGAACACTTGAAATGAATAGATACATCAAAAGAAAGAAAGAAAGAAAGAAAGAAAGAAAGAAAGAAAGAAAGAAAGAGAGAGAGAGAAAGAAAGAGAAAGAAAGAAAGAAAGAAAGAAAGAAAGAAAGAAAGAAAGAAAAAGAAAGAAAGAAAGAAACCTGAATCAGAGTTGTGTAGAACCAGATTTATTTTATTTTTTGCAATATTGAGGATTGAACTCAGGGCCTCATGTGTGATGTGCAAGTTCCCTACCCCTGAGCTTCATCCCCAGCCCAGTATTTTTCACTGTAAGGATGATGCTTTGTATGCACGTATGTATGTATCCACTTTCCCTGTCACACCTAAGTTTGAAAAGGTGGCTCTAAGCGCAGTTGCTGTAGATTCACGTCTTATGTAGTTACCTGGATTCCATCAGGAAAAACTACACCCTTAGTCTCAGCCTCCAGAGCCTTTGAAAGCATCTCATGTCCGCAGAGTGATGTGAAATGAATATGGATAGTAAACATGGTCCCTGTTGCTTTCTGACAGAGTCACCTTGAACGTGGTCTGACTTGAAGTGGGAGATGAGGCACTGCTTGCAACTCATGTATGTCCTGGAGTGGAAGAATGGGAGGAAGTAGCTGGAAGCTGTGAAAGGATGCTATGATAAGAAGGGGAATTTTCTAAACTTTATAGTGACAGGAGCATTTGCGAAGTTGTCCGAAAGGTTGCTGAGATTACTTGGAGTCATATTTCTGAAACATGTCATATTAACACCTTCCTGAGGCTTTCTTGATTTTGGATGCTTGGTAGCTGTGTTTAATTTTTTTTTTCTACATAGTTTCCTGATGAGCCTAAGGACTCAGACAGTGATGGAAAAGTCAAAAATAGGAATCTTCCCCAAAACAAAACAGAACAGAACAGAACAAAACAAAGCAAAGCAAAACAAAACAAAACAAACTAAGTCTTTCATACTTGCTGAACATTAGAATTATTTCTCTTTTTGCACAGAAGAGATACCATAATCTGTATTTTGATTCATTTGGGTGGTTGAATTCGGATGTATTGGGATTTGTTTATTTTCTATTCAGTGATAAATGTGGCGCTGTAAACCAGCCTGGAGCTTTCTTGTATAAACAGAAGACTAGAGAAATTAGCATTAAGATGAACTGTATTTATTAAACGCTATTAGCTTTGAAGGTAGATTTAGATTCTTTTCTTTGGATTGTAAAATCTACTTTTGCCTGGGGTTTTTTTTTTCTTCAGTTGTCTCTTGAATTCAAAGTTGTAAACAGAAGTGCTCCATAAATATACGTGCACCATGACAGACTTGGATATAAAAACAAAATGGCACTCAAAATTGCTCAAGTAAGTTGGTTATAGTTAGATATTTTTAAAGGCCATGGTGGCATAATTTGGTAAAATCCCCAGCTTCCCTTAAATGATGACAAAATATAGCTCCATAATACTTCTGAGAGCCTAGTATGAAAATGCATTAGGAGAAAAGGTCCAAGGGACACAGCAGAACGCCTTGTCATGATAGATAGAGGGTGGCATAATTCTAAAAATTCTCCATGAAAAATTATATCCACTGATAAGTGTCTCTCCCCTTCTCAGAAAGGGCACAGGTAGACGGTATTAACTTGCTGTGTGAAGTAATAAATTACCCTGTCCCATCTGGCACATTACCGCGAGCTTGGTGGGCTTTACAATGTCCCTTCCCTGAGAGTTCAACTTGAAATCTTTATGAATGATGGCTGAGCCCTGAGACTCAACTCAACCTTCCTTGCGTAGTTGGTAACCCATAAAACTAACATCCCTTTAAAAAATGAGCAATTTGAAACAGATTTGTGAGAAAGGGAACCTTTACTCATCACAAAATCACATTAATGTGCGTAGGAAGGGAGTTGGAAGGGGAACTATCTTGAAATATTGCTATCTCAATCTTTCTTGAAAGGTAAAACTAAGAATAATTATACATCTATTCTTCAGGGATTCTTTATTTTCATAGACATTTTGTTTAAATGGAGGAAACCTGGGTGGATTTTTTTTAAAGTTGTGCCTAGAGATGGCTTGATGATTCTCCTGAAAGACATGAGGTGGGTTTATTGGCAGTTTGTGGCTGGATTTACGTAGCAAGCATAAAATAGTCCAAGCAGCAAATGATTTGTGAGTGTGTACATTGGGTGAGGACAGGGAGGGAGCTATCTCACGCTCTAGCAATCTGAAAACCTACAGGTCTATATAAAACCACTTCAGTGGGTGGGAAGAGGGGACCACCAGATACGTCTTTGTTTTTAGTATTTTCAGATTCTGCCCTTCTTTTATTGATTGACTTTTATCTCAAATCAAAATGATTCTGATAAGGAATTTTCCTCTGTGCTTTGCAAACCAACTGAAAGTGAGAGCAGGATGAATAAATGCCTTGCTGGTAACTGTTTATCCTCTCTCTTAGCTCTTCTGATTACCTTTCACAATAATGTTTCTTTGTTCTTCAAAGTCCATTTTATGCAGATCTATGCTAATGATCATCTGCTATGCAAATATTTCACCTTGGTAATTGTAATAAAGGAAGCACTGACCAGTGGACCTGAAACTAAAGCTTAGATTTCCTCTCAACTGTGATATATCATGTGTGTTACTTAAGTTTCTGAGATATAGATTTGCCTTCTATAGAATGGTGATTCTAATAACTGGCTCCCAGAACTGTGGGGGAAAGTTCAGTAGTTGTAATGTTTTGTAATTTTTGAAACACTTTGCAGGTATTAGGGCTAGCACAGGGTCTTGCCCTCTGTCTACCAGAATATTTTCTTCTCTTCTTCTCTAGTAGTGGGATTATATCTGGCTCCGATCTGGGACTGTAGTTGCAACTACTAATCATCATGGAGATATAGAAGCTCTTGGAAGAGGAAAAGATGAGAATCATTTTTGCTTTTCAGGTACCTTGCGGGATATCTCGTCCCTGGCTTGAAGGTAGTAGCTTCAGAGAAGTTCCCTAAACTGAACCAGGGGAACAAGCTGCTAACCGATCCAGAACACCTCTCTTGGACATTTATGTGAAAGAAACACATTTGTATTTCTTTGAGCGTATGTGCTCACAGGTCTGTTTGTACCGATAGGTCAGACTACCACAACCAATACCAACATTTTTATTGAGTCCATGGGATACAGATTCATAGACATAGAACTGGAAGGAACCCTAGAGGTCATCTTGCAAATAAACGTAATACTTGGAGAGGAAACCATTTTTTCTTGGCCACAAAACAAATTAATTGCAGAACTCAAATAAAGTGTAATTTCCCGGCACAATTGTACAATGCAGAGTAAGCAGTCCACACATGAATCTGATCCTTAAGGGACAGACCTGCGGAATACAGGCATAGATTCAGAGAGTGCTCGGGTATGCATTTCATAACCTCTTGTAAAAATGTCAAATTAGAGAAGTAGACGCTTTTCCCCAAGGTTTTGCACCAGGGTTTTGCAAATCACGAGCTCTGAGGCTTCTTTTAAAGCTGTCCTGAGCATGAAGGTCCTTGTGCCTGATGAAATATCATGAGTGCTTTTGGTTCTGGGAGAGCAGGCGGCTTCGGGGAAAAGCAGCCCACCTGGCAGCAGCGCTGGGAATGTTTTAGCCACAGCTGCCAGGAGCTTCTGTTCTCCAAAAGATTGATCTAAAATGGCTTCTTCGAACATAACCAACAAGAGAGAGACAAGATTATGTTCTTAGCATTTGAACCAGAACACACTTGCTCTGCTTTAAAAGGTCTTATGGGACTGAAAAAGCCCAGGGAAACAGAAGTTGCTGTTCTCATTAAAGGAGAGAGGTATTTTTATTCATTGTTTTTATTCACATCAGTTAATTTAACATGCCTTGAAGGGGCCTCTTCCATGGCAGTGGTATTAAAGTCGCAGCTTACTCACTGATTATAAACAAACATTAGTCAAGTTTACTTACCAAAGTTGGTGCACGGATAAAAAGCAAAAGAATTACCTCGCACCTGACAGATGAGATGAGTCCCAGGGGGCTCCTCTGGCCTTGTGACAATATGCCATGGAGGAAACTTGGAACAGACTCCAAATTCCTTAACTGTGACTTGGGAAACTGGCTAAGCTGGTCCATACCTGCCTCTCTCTCTCATCTCCTGACCTCTATCCTTGACTTGCTATTGTGATGCCTACCTGGCTGTTCTGTTTACCATCACCACCTATGTCATGTCACAGGGTTCTGCATATATCACTAACATGGCCAGCTACTTCTCTTCTTGAACCTCAATTTTATTTTCTGATATGTGTGTGTGGTACTGAGGACGGAAACTGGCTTTCACACTGAGCTATGTCTCTGGCCTTTTCATTTTTTCTTTGGAGACAAATTCTTGCCAAGTCATGAAGTTGCCCAGACTGGGCTCAAACTTAGGATCCTCCTGCCTCAGGTTCCAGAGTGCTGGGGTTATAGGCATGAAGCACTATGCCTGGCCTTAAATTTTAAAGTTCCATTTTAAATATTATTTTTTATTTTTTGGTACCTGGGATCAAACTCATGACCTCATACTTATCAGGCAGGGACTTATACCACTGAGCTAAATCCCCGGCCCTAAATATTATCTCTTTAGAAATGTCTCCACTGGTTGCCTTCAAATGGAGGTTTCATTGCACTGTTTTCTTCAAATTAGTTACACAAATTACCAGTTACTTATATGCATGCTTATTTATTATCTGATAGATTGCAGTCTCTTCGACTAGGCAGTGATTTCATAGGTTAATCACCCATTTTAGTCATGAAAAAAAGAAACAGGTTCCCATAGATATCCTTAAGAGAAATGGAAGCCAAGAGATTAGCAATGAGAGTGTAACTAATGACCTGGATAGATTTTCTCAGGGTGGTAGACCTGCTGGGGTGGATTCTCAGCTGGAGATCAGTCTAGTAGAGACAGTAGGAAAAGAAGTCCAGGATTACATAGAACCTAGAAAAAAGCCGGTGAAGTCAAAGTCAGAGCAAGGAAAGAGACAGAGCTTAAAACAGACCAAATCTTACACCCACATTGGGCTCTTCAGTGAGTTTCTCCGCAATTTCCTGGATAACCTAGCTCAAGACTATTGCTCCAGTCCATCAGGGTTGGGAGAATGGAGTGGATCTCGATCTGCTGGGATAGCAAATTCATTTCCTGCTGAAAGGTGCTGTTTTTCTTTGAGTCACAGAGCAATCCTTTCTTTTTAAAAAAAAATTAAATTTTTTATTTTAGTTTGAAGAGAATTAAACCAAATGAGACAAAACAAAATAGTCAATCAAAACAAAAGGATCAACATGGTTCATGACTTAAAAACAAAATACAAGGAGATCAATTATGGCTACCATAATGTCTCTTGTTATCTTCAAAAGAATTGCCCATATCATCAGGTATAATAAAATTGAACAACACAATACAGAACAAAATCAATAAAAACCAAGCTTTTTATTGGCATTATTCTGATGGATCTTTTCCTCCAGCCTGGCTTCCCTGATGGAAATTTTGCACCTTTGGTCTAAGAAGCAGTTTTTAAAACTTGAGCTGCTCTCCTTCCTTCTCCCAATTTGACTGCTTTCTGCCTCATTCGTACGTTGAATTTTTCTTCAAGGTTTGTTTCTTTTCCACAAAATCTCACCCTTACCTTCTTGAACGGGAACCCAGGATTCTTCCTGGTTTGCAGCCTGCCCTGCAGTACAGAAGCTTCTTCCGCTCTGCTTTGCTGTTGTTATAGTAACAGCAGATGTGCCTTCTGGAATGTTCTGTTTCCTGGGAACACTGTTGGGAGGATCATCAGAGATATTTTACTTGGTCACAACTACATTGCAAATTAAAAAGAAAATATTCTGTCCCCACAACTGTGTTTACTTTGTTGCCTTATAAGACATCAGGAGAACTTGACAGGGTAATAGAACCAAACCTTGGCAAAAAATAGGACATGGAACAGGATGGAATCTGATGTTGAGTAGGTTCCACTTTACGGAAGAAAACATAATGCTAATAAATTTATTGTACATCGATTACCAGGATAAATTGGGCAATAAACTATGCAGACATAATGGAAACTTCACCATTGCCAAATAGATGATAAATGATATAAAACAGTGGATTATTTTGCTTATCTTCAATTAGAATGTTTGCAAAATGAGTGAAACAATGAATTTAAATGCAGAAAGCATATATTATCATAAACATATTTGCTAAAACAGAAAGCATAAATTGTGGTGAAATTTAGTAGTGTCTCCTGTTATGCATGAATGTTTATTTGTGATTAAATGTGAACAATTGCTCCTTTAAGGTAAAGGTCTGTGAATGTGTGATTAATCAAGTTGAAATGAAAGTGCAGACAGCTCATGCCATGCCTAGTTATCAAAATGATTGATTTTAGCCTGTGCTTCTAGGTGAAAAAATATCTGTTAATAACCCCAGCAACCAAACCCCTGATGTCACTAGTAGCTAGATGATTTGTGCGCATTTTGCATTACTGGGCTTATTTGCAGGTAGAGAGTACAATGATCCATTGGATCGCAAAATTATAACATGCAAACGGTGACATTCAGATTTCTGCAAGAGTTATGACTGCAAAGTGCATTTCATCAGTGAGGAGTTTAAAATTGCTGCTGTTGTAGTTGTCACGAGCATGTTATTTTCTTTGGTTTGCGTGGAGGCAAGACTGTCAAGGTTTTCTCACACAAACTGGTGTTTTTATATACCACAGCTCTCTGCTGGCTGGGGATAGCCAGCCTCTGATCCGAGTTGTTATTAAGTCTTCAGCTTTAAGATAGTACTTTACCAACTTGGTTGAATTACACTTGATCATAAATACCTTAATGTTTTACTGGGTAGAAAAGGCTTAATGCAAAACAGGAAATGGCTCTGCCAAGAAATGGTGGTGGGTTTGGGGTAGTGTCTGCTGTTTGTTATTGCTGGAGAGAAAAATGTGTTGGACTAAAATTTCCAGTTAAGGGTCTGGAAATGAAGTATGAAGAGTCAAAGAAAATTTTACATACAGAATGTGGGTAAATTCTCCATCCTGTAACCTATGATTTTCCAGGTCTAGCTGTTATATCATCTGATTGTCAAAAACTCTGGCCAGTTCGTACTGCCAAGGAAATGTATTCTCTCATAACTACCAGCAGTTCATTTCTGGGTATACATTGGTCCAAAATGTCTGAAGAAATTTAGTTTTTTTTTTCTTATACTCACTGCTGTGTTTAGTTCTTTGATTCACAGAAACCAGGAGAAATTAATAGAGTAGCAGAGGCAAATCATGGAAAAAAAGCAACGATGTCTTTGGTATGATGAAATAACATGTCCAATATGTGCGATCTCTATGGAAGGATTTGCAATGCTAGTCATGTTCCTGTACTTTGCTTATTATAAGATCATACTCTGAGGTATATAGTACAGTATATGAATATATGGAGACTGTCAAATGCTGGGAATAATAGGAAAGCTAAACCACCTGGATACATTTACTTAGGTTTAACTGTAATACTTATTAAATGAATATAGCAACGTACTCAGAAAATTCCACACAATTGTCTGGCATAATACCTGGCCCACTAAGGCATGCTATAAGTAAGAGCCATTGTTACTGTGGCTATTACAATTGTAAACAAGAAGGTAGAACAGTTATAACATGCACATATTTCTGGCTAATGGCTGCATAACATAGACCAGAACACAATGCAAAATGAAGCAAAGTTTCCCAAAGGTAACTTTGCCTGAGAAGCCAGTGAGTCCCTCTCAGAGCTTGTGTGCCCTGGCTCTTAAATACCTTATGACAATCCTGCTCTAAATCTCTGTGAATGTGCTTTCCAAGGCAGGTAACCACTAGCCATATGTGGCATTAAAATAAATAAAATTAAAAATTCAGTTCCTCTGTTGTACTAACCACATTTGAATGTGCTCGGCAGCCACTATAGCTGTGGTTACCCTACTGGACACACAAGGAACATTTCTATGAGTAAGAGTTGTACTGGATAGTGAAGCTCTTAATTGAGCCCTGCAAAGACCCTAGACTTTAGGACCTAAAAACTGTACAATACAGGAAAAAAAAAAAAAAAAACAAAAACAAAGAACTATGCAGTCTGGTGAGGACCACAGCTGTGTGTGGAAGACAATTGGCAAGGAATTAAGGAAGAACTAATTGTGCCCTATAGAAGCATTTAAAGGCCTTGGCTTCTGTTGAGTGACTCAATAGTTGGTAGAAATGGGCAGGTTAATTGGGAAACTCATCAGTGACCCTTTAGCACTACTCTGCATCATGTAGGGGAGCTCATGGGTCCCGAGAAGCAGGAATGGAGGAAAAAATAAAAGCAAGAGGTCACCCAAGGGAAAAGCGGCGTGTGGCAGAGGGATTTGAGAATCATGAGCATTATCTTTAGAAAGTGGCTTCTTTAAATGCATCGTGATTTGATGGTTTATTTAATGCATCTGAGTTTAATCGTGCTTAGAAAGCAAGCAAGCTCATTCCTGGTTTTTCACTCATATGAGTAAGTTCCCAGTTACCTATCACATCTTCATGATTGGTGTTACATTTATTGATGACACTCACTTCATTAATCCCAAGGGCGACAGGAGTTAACCTTTGTCTTAGTCTTGACAATTGCTAGAACTACAATTGACAGCACTGCCTCAGAAGAAGTTTCTAGAATGTAATTCCTGTGATACTATACTAACATTGTGTTATAGAGACAAGGTGAAAGATAGGTGACTTCTCCACAAGAGTTTCCCAACTTTCTTCATAGTTTTTCTTTTCTTTCTTTTTTCCTCCAAACAATTTATGTCACTTCAGTTAGAGAACACTGTAGAATCCTGGCCTGAAAGATTCCTCCACAAATAACCTCATAGGGAATTTGAATGCATTGAATTTTGCTAAACTTCACTGAACTGAAAACTGAAATTGTCACTTATTGGAGAATGAAGTAGATTGGATAGCATTGTCAGCATATTAAATCTGGGGTGAAGGTTATAAGTGTTATTGATTGTTTTTAAATTACAGAAGTGTCTGTGCATTTCATACCAATTTTAGTTCATTTTTTAGAAATCAAGAAATACATTAGAATTGTGGTGCTGGCCGAGACCTCAAATGGCAATCTCATCTTTCCTCTTAGACTATAAACCACGTTGAAAAAAATTGATCTTGGGGAGCTCATTGTGAGCAGAAGAGAGGGATGGTGTGCAGAGCACTGGTCTACGTGCTTGTGGTATCTGTACTCTAATCCCAGCTTGGCCCCAATCTCTTTCAGGCCTGGGCTTCAGATTCCTTATTGGTCAAATGAGGTAAATGGACAAAATAGTTTCCATAGCATTTTCTAACTGTGTTAGTTTTCTGTTGCTGCATAACACATTACCACAAACTCAGTGTGGTTTAAAACAGCACCCATGTATCATCTGTCAGTTCTGTAGGTCTGAAGTTCCAGAGGGCTCCATTAAATTCTTTGCTCAAGATCCCTCAAAGGTAAGCACGAGGCAATGCCTGGGTGGACTTCTATCCAAAGACCCCAAAGGAGAGTCCTCACCCAAACCCATATGTGTTGTTGTCAGGATTAGATTCCTTGTGGTTGTAGAATTAAGGTTCCTGTTTCTTGCAGGCTGTTCTCTGGGGGTCACTCTTCGCTGTCAGAGGTCACCCACGTTCTTCCCCTGGTAGCTCCTCCATTGTCAAGCCAACAATGGCAGAACAAATCCATCTCATGCTTCAACCTGGCCACTTTCTCTTTTGGTTACCAGCCTAAGAGAATTCTGCTTCAAAGGACTCGTATGATCAGAATGATCAGAGTACCCTGCCTAGAGATTTCTCTTCTACTTAACTCCAAATTGTTTGATTAGTAATCTTAATAGCAAACACAAAATACTGCCACGCGACATCATCATGGGTCCTTAACTCATGGGTTTCACTGTGGAGCGCATGGCGAGTATCTTAGCAAGCCATCTGAACTTCTGTCCATCACACTAACTCTGAAAATCATTGATTATGCATCTTCTGAGCCTGCAGAGTACCCGTCTACAAAGTCCTTTCCTTCCCTCACTTCCTCTTAGCAATCTTTTCTGGTGTCTAGTGCTGTACTTCATCATGCAGTTTAAAATCTTTGCTTGCTGTTCTGTCTGCAGGCTTTTTATATCCCTCCTTTGTGTGGGGAGACTGGGGGACATTTCTAGAGCTGTTTTTTTTTTTTTTTTTCTCAGTGCTATAGCCAGAGGAGAATGCGCAACGGTCTTTCAATCAGACTTAGACTAAAGTCTAAGACTTTAGGTGCATTTACCAGTGAGCAGCAAGGAAGGGCTCTTCTCCCCTTGGCTCAGTCTTTGCTCTGCTTAGGGCATTTGTAGGAAGGTGTATTTTTTTTTCCAGTACTGGTAATTGAACCCACGGCCTTTTCCCTGATCTACATCCCTGGCTCTTTTAAATTATTTCTTATTTCAAGACAGGGTCTTGCCAAATCACTAAGTTACACAGGCTAGGGTTGCGTTTGTGGTCCTGCTGCTGGAGGCTGTCATAGAGATGGAGTTCTGGGCAGGTGGCACCAATCCTATGTAGGATTCCTGAGTCTTTCACCTTTGTGATGACTTCAAGTGATTTGGGCGATTAGAGCAATGTTATACAAATCAGTGGAACAAAATCGAATATACAGGTGATACACAGATGAAAATGAAAAGTACCTCTCCTATCTACCACCTGCATATTGCCTTGCATATCTTTCTAAAAATGTTTCTATTATGTGCATAAATTAATTAGGGTATCGTACAACATTCAGCCATTTATAGTAGAAAGTTTTCATGCTAATAAAGATTTCTATGTAATATTTAAATGCCTTGCTTCCTGATATTTGATCTCAATATTGAGTATATCAGCATTTATTCAGTCATTTATGCTGAACATTTCTTTCCTATTATCATAAAAAAATGCTTCGTTAGGGCTGAGGATTTAGTTCAGTGGTGTAAATGCCTGCCTGGTAAGTGCAAGGTTGTGAGTTTGATTCCTGGTACAAAATATATAATCAATTAAAAATTCTTTAATGATTCAGGCATAGTAGTAGACACCAGGGATCACAGAACTCTTAGAGGCTGAGGGAGGAGGATTGCAAATTTGAGCCCAATCTTGTTTACTTAATGACTTAGCAAGGCACTGTCTAAAAAAAAAAAAAAAAAAAAAAAAAAAAAAAAAAAAAACAAAAAAAGAAAGAAAGAAAGAAAGAAAGGACTGGGGATGTATTTCGGTGTCAATGTCCTAGGTAAAATCATAATTGTTTTAAAAAAAAATCTTCACATAACATTCTAGAAGTGAAATTGGACAAAATATGTATGCACACGTTAAAGATTTTTGAGCTCTATTGCCATTCTTTCTCATTACATAATGCCAATTAATTTATATAGAATCACCCAACGGATGGCTTTGTGGTGAGAATTCAGGTTGGAGCTCCTCTATCACAGCTTGTTACCTCTATAATTTTGGGCCCCCTGAATCTCAGTGGCTTCATTTGTAAAATCACATTAGGCCCCCTGAATCTCAGTGGCTTCATTTGTAAAATGCAATTTACTCCAGCCCTACCCCTAAAAATTATGCAGGTAAAGAAAGGTGGCTTAGGGGGCCTGGGCTTTGAAAATTATAAATTCAGTGTGAATTGGCATAAGTCATTCTTTTATCCTCTTTGCTAACTCAGGTGAGTGGACTTCAGGCAAATGGTCCATCACACCCCAGTGCACTGCACCACTTTTAGGAACATTGGTTACAGAAACTTCTCACAAGATTGTGGAACGGACTTGATGAGATTTCAGCGTCACCACTGGCCCTTGCCCTGATGGCAATGTGTGCTTCCACACTGCCGTGCCTGTTTCTCTTCTGGTACAAAAAGCCTGTGACTAGGGAAGTTGTATGATTACTATATTTGTTTGGCTTTTGTCCCCTTGCTTTCCAAGCTGGCTCTTCCCTTGGTCCCCTGTGGATCTATTGTGTGCTGCATGAGGCTGTCTTTTTCGGTACCCTTAGGTGGTACTTAGCACTCAGAGAGCACTTGTCATCTCCAAGGCCCTTTGCAGACATTAGCTAATTAATCTTCACACCCCAGTGTGACAGACAGGAAGGAAGCTAATCTAAAGCACTGGAGCTATGGCCATGAGCAGTGTGTTACAAGTACAATAACTTATTTTTTTATTATTCTTTGGAGGAGGAAGAGATAGTTATGCAATTTATCCCAAACCACAGAAGGTGTTTACATTATAGTTGAAATTCAAGCTTAGTGTGATAAAGCTGGTTCTTGTCGAAGGCCCTCTGGCCTGATCCAACAACTCAGCTGTTCACAAACACAGTGACCTGAGCAAGATGCACCTGCTCATTTCTCTTCACCCCAAGGAGGATACAGAACTATTGACACTTGAGTTGCTATCTTCCCTTCTTTCCAGATTCGTTGAAAGGAAACTGATGGAAAGTTTGAAAATATTTAAGACAGAAAGATGGACAACAGCAGGCAGTAACACCCCACTGGGGCCAAATGTAGTGGGATTGTTACTTGTTCTTGGAATCTACCAGTCTTTAATTGGCAAAATAATGATAGTGTCATTGTTTGGCCAGAAGGAAGAATAGGGAAGGTCAAAGTACAGTTGGCTCAAATTTCCTGAGGTCTGGACTCCTGACATTAATCCTTTGGGCCTCCTTAAAGCTGGCAGGCATGACCCATCATCTCTGTGATCTTGCAGGTGTCAATCAGGGTCTCCAAAATGGCTTTCAGAAAACAGAGAACACCATACTAGTAAAACTAGTTGTCACGAAGGAAAAGGAGCTTGATCAGGATTCCGTAGAATTCCTTTTCCCAGAAAGCTGGGTGAGGACCAACGGGGCTTCTCTTTTTAGCCATAACTGAAGGTAACTTGAAGATCGTAGTCTTGTAACAAAAGATTTGACTCAAATTCCTGAATCCTAAAGTGTGCTCAAGACTTGCAAGACAGTAATTGAGATCATACAACTTACAGACTTTGAAAGCTGGTGATGGTGATGGTGGTGGAGGGGAGGGAACCACTTGGTTCACTGGGCAAAAGCTCTTCTCCGATGTTCAGATTTCTCTGGTTTCTTATCATGTCTCGTGCCAGTGGGTGTGAATCCGAACACCTAGACAGATGGCCTAAATAAGAGGGGGGATTTGACATTTAGCTGTTAATTTATTTTACGATGTGGGCTGTCATGTATTATACATGAGGTAAATAAAAGTGATGAACTAATTATGGAAACGTATACTGCCTTCCAATTACTCCTGGATTACGTGCTTAATATTCTGAAGTATTCCAATTATAGACAGATTTGTCATTGCGGCTAAACTTTTCTTATTTGTGGAATTCCAACTTCATTTGCAGGGAGGTTCAGCTGATTTTCTGCTAAGTAAATGACTATTCTAGACTTTCGTTGCGACTGGAATTCTTTCTTTCTTTTTTTTTGTAGTTGAATCATATTTTAGACTTACATTTTTGACAACCTATTTCACAGCTGACTGGCCTCCCCCACCCAATCTGAGTTTCTAGACCACTTCTGAATAGCAGATTCCCATTTGTTGTCCTGAAAGGGCAATCTTGTCATTTTAAAAGATCACTTCTGGTTAATTCAAGATCTGTAACTTGTTTTGGTCTATTACCTTTATCATATTTCTTTCAAGAACAATTTGGTTGAGAGAACGGATCAACACAGCAGAATGTTTGAGATTCATCCAAATGTCTGGTTAAAAATTATGTATTAAATAAAAAGCAGAAGTAGGTTAATGGCAACATGAAGAACTTTGACAAAGTTTGAAAAGTAGAATATTGTAGTTTATGTCTAAAGACTAACATAAAACTTTGTTCTCAATTTATATTCTAATTTATGCTGATTATATAAACGACAGAACCCTCTATTTTATAAAAGTTGGAAATTATGTAAAAGTGAAAGTTTAGCTTGCTTTTTAATTCAACACAATTATTGTCTAACCCAAATGTCACAAATGTTATTTTGATCTCTTACAAAAAATGAGTTTGGTACAGTGAAGCAAAGAACTTTATTACAAAAGAAAATAGTATATGTTTTATAATAGGAGCATTATATTTTTAAGTGGTGACATATTTTTATATTCTTATATCTAACCTCATTACTAAAAAATCATTAGAGACATATGAGCACATAAACTAAAACAGGCAAATTATAAATGAGGTATAAGTTATGACTCAGGAAGAGAAAACCATGGAAACAGCTTGAAACTTAGAGAAAAATTTGAACATTAAGAAGAGCCAAAAACAGGCTTTTCCTTCTTGGGGCCTGGGTGAAAGGGAAACAGCATCTACTCCAGAAGACAAACAACCACAAGATACAAATGCACCTGTTTTTCGGGATAAACGAAGCTTTTTTTCCCCCACTCTGATAAACAAGTGGTTTGTGTTAATGTATCATTATAATAGGAACTTGATATATTAACATGTATTTTAAAAAAAATTAGAGCCTGCAGCATTACAATTTATTATGAAACCATAACCAGAGCTTAAATATAGCCACAATATTGACACCACAGCAATGTATAGTACATATATACTGACACTTCAAAATAAATTTTTATTACAGTTTATGCTAATTACGTTATATTTGAAAGCTGCACTCTATTTTTGAAACTGTGAATTAGAAATACTTTATTGCTGTATTACTTATCTGTTTTAAAATCATATTTTAGACTAGACCAAACTCATCTAGTCTATTTTTTATTCTAAAAAACCCAAAAGGATAAAAATGATACCGAATTGCAAAAAAAAGCAGGAAATTAACACTAGTGATTATATTGCATATTGTTATAAAAATTACTCTCAATACAACTTTTATTACTCTGTGTCAGTTTCATTCTATCACAAAACCCCAGCATGGTGGGTTAAAATAACAAATATTTATTATTTCTTTCTCTTCTGGGATAGCTGCGAGATGTTTTTGATCTGCAAGTGGTTTGACAGGGACTAGAAAATCTCAAATAGTCTCAGCTGGGAATTCTAGAATGACCTCACTCTCTCCCTATAGGTTCCCTCCTAACATAGGAGGCAAATCTAAGCTCCATCCTATGGTAGTGGCTAGGAGCACTTTAAAGGCAAGAGAATATATGGTGTAATGAGCAAGGACTTTCTAAGTCTCTGCTTACACCTTCATGTTTGCTAATGTCCAGCTGATTGTTAGAACAGGGCATGAGGCCCACAGCCAACATGGTTTCAAGGAACGGAAAAGATGCTATTCCTCTTAATGTTGAGGTCGTAGGATCCCATTGCAAAGGAAGACAAATGCATAGAAGGAGGTTATTACTTGTGGCTACTTTTGCAAACTATCTATCTCAATTGAGAACACACTCTTTCTCTTTGTTATTCCTCACTGATAATTCAGGTTAGCCTGAAATGGAGAAAAAGAACATTGGTTAGCTATCAGCTTGTTGGCTTTCCCCTTTGGATGCATTCCCTAGATGCTCTGTGTTAATCAACAATACTCCTTCATACATTTCTCCTTGATGTTAATGGATGGTAAGCTTTCTCAGAGGAGGGCAGTGGAAGGACATTGAAGAGGAAGATGCTTCCTGCACTTCCTTCTGGGGTCCACAGGTCGGCAGTGTGGTGTGAAGATGTGCCACAGGCCAGGACATATACTCTCACTTGGCAGCCTTGGACTGCTGTTAATTTTTTCTCAGCACACTCCACATGGAAACCAGAATCTTGTGCAATCTCCACACAAGGGTTTATGGAGAATTTTACACTGTATTAGTCACTTTCCTGTTGATGGGACACAATACCTGTCATCCACAATTGAGAAGGGGAGAAGTATATTTGGCTCACAGTTCCAGTGGTTCGGTCCATGGGTGACCAGTTCCAAGGCAGAAACACATGGTGGAAGGGCATTGAGGAGCACAGCTGCTCATTCTGTGGCAGCCAGGAAGCAGAGAGAAAAGTGTGGAGCCAGAGTCAAGGATGTACCCTTTCAGAGCACACCCGCAGTGGTCCGTCTCCAACCAGGCCTCACCTCCTGACAACACATTCAGGTATGAAGCTCATTAATGGACAAATGTCTAATGAATATATATATATATATATATATATATATATATATATATGTCTCATGAATATCCAAATTCATGAGACTTTTGGGGAACATTTCAGACCTCAATTCTAACACACATTAAGCAGCTGGCTCATTTTGACAGCCTCTTTCCTGTCCTTGTGAGG